TTTTTTTTTTTTTTTTTTCCCCTGTTGTCTGTTGCATTTATTTCTGCTTGAATTTTCAAATTTCTTCTGCTTGCTTTAAATGTAGTTTTCTTTTCTTTTTTTTTAAGTTTCCTAAGATAGAAGATTAAGCTGTTAGCTTTCTTTCTTTCTTTTCTTTCTTTCTTTCTTTCTTTCTTTCTTTCTTTCTTTCTTTCTTTCTTTCTTAACAATTTTTTTGAGAGGGGAGAGGGGCGACAGAGGAAGACCAAGGATCTGAAGCAGGCTCCACGGCCAGCACAGAGCCCAAAAGGAGCTTGACCTCGTGACTCCAAGATCATGACCTGAGCCTAAATCAAGAGTGGGGTGCTTAACCAACTGAGCCACCCAGGCGCCCCTAAGCTATTACTTTAGATCATTTTCCTTTTCTTTTTTTAATTCTGGCATTTACAATTATACATTTCATCCTCAGCATTGCTTTCACTACATCCTTAAATGATAATATACTGCATTTGCATTCACCACCAAATATTTTCCAGGGTCTCTTGTAATTTCTTCTTTGATAAGTGATTATTCTGGAGTGATTATTCTGGATACATGATAATAATTATTCTATTCATTCCAGACACTTGTGAATACCCTAAATTTCCTTCTGTTACTGACTCCTAAACCTCATTTCACTATGGTTAAAAGGGCATACTTTGTATGACTTCAATCCTTCCTAATTTACAGAGACCTGTTCTCTGGCCCAGCATATGGTCTATTCTGGAGAATGTCCCATGTGTACTTGGGGGGGAATGTGTATTCTTCTGTTGTTGGCTAGAATGTTCTGTTAGATGTCTGTTAGGTCTAGTTATTCCACAAGGTGATGTTGAAATAAATGTATTAAGTGACAAAATGCAGCCACAAAGGTGGAAGGAAATATATTGCTACTATGATTTTGAACACAGCATCACTTGCCGTAAATAGAAATACCAAGAAAACAAACAAACAAAATGTTATTACATTCTGGCAGGAGACTGTTTGCCTGAAGTCTCTGAGACTGGGGTCACTCACTGGATGAACTGGATGAAGTCATTTTTTCACCAGACCAACATGTTGTCTTTGAGCTTGATCAGAAAGGACTGAATGAGAAATGAAAAAGAAATTAAGGGTATTTCATTCCATGTCTGTTTAGCTCCTAAAATAATGTATCGTGTTGGCCCTATTTGAGAAACACACTGCTCTCACCTTATAGAAATCTTTCTTTCCAGTTATTTTTGCCAAACTGTTCCCAAAGGGGACTCAGTAATGCGCTGAACTGCCACAGTATTTAGTGCTGGGTTCCCCAGAAAACCCTCAATAAATTCTGCATGTAACTGGTAAGAATTTATTATGTTCCATCTAAGGAGTTTAAGTGGAGGGGAGAGGAGTTCTTAAGCCTTCAAAGCCGCTTCGCTTTCCTCAGGTAATCTTTTTATGTGATATCCTATCTCTGACTTTGCTTCCTGTCAGCCCAGTCATATTATCTCAGCAACTTTTGCCATTTGTACCGAGTTTGTTCTCTTTAATAACAGCAGGGTTCTCAGACCTATGTTTAATGAGCTGAAACACCATCGGCTGGTCACTGGTGTTCAAAACAAGGTCCTAAAACAAAAGAATGATGACTTCTTAGAACTCCCTCAACTTCACCAACGTCTGTCAAATTACACTGAATGGACTGAGGCAGGATTTGTGTCGGGACCAATTTCCAAAGGGGGTGGCACTCACAAAATATCTGTATTTACTGCTTTTGTAAATTCTAGATTAAAGGAAGAAATAGAAGATTTCCCTTTCTCATATCATTGCCTGGAAGTAAAAATATGAAAAGTCTGAGACCCCAAATAAGAGCTTTTAAAGTTTTATGGGTTTGATATGTGTTCTTCATTAAAATAAAAAAACAAAATGCACTACAGTTTTATTCTTATTCTTACTCTTACCCTTACCCTTACTCTTATTCTTCTTATTCAGTAATCTCTACACCCAACATGGGGCTTGAACTCACAACTCCAAGATCAAGAGTTGCACACTCTTCCAACTGAGCCAGCCAGATGTCCCCAAATGCCCTGCAGCTTAAGTTTCCATGCCGATTATATGATAGCAGTGTGTTGACTGAAGCAGTTTATTAAGAATGGACTAACAATATGGAAACCATAGAAAGAGTTTATACCCAGGTGGCTGAAATGCCACCAAGTTTCTTATGTACTGTCCTACTCTGAAGACTCTTAATCTGTGAAAACAAGCATGAAGGGATATAAACAAAGAAAAAAAAAACCTTTCTCTTCCAACTATGTAGCTAAGATATACTCCATAATCTAACATTAGTTAGAAAAAACTAATAAGACCTGTATTTTATAAACACTCAAACAGCAAGGCAAATGTCAATATTTATTGGCCATGCAACAATAATTTATTCATCACTGACTCATGTCCATTGATGACCAGACCCAAGCCCTGCCTTCCTGCAGGACTCGGATCTAGGACTAGATCCTGAATTCGCCACCCCACACTTGAATTGCTGGTAACTTACCTGCCGAATCTATCTGGCTATTAGCTCCTTAAGAAAAGGGACTACGTCTCATTCAAATCTGAATTGCCTTCATCTAACATAGTACCTACTGGACTTGGTACACATTGTCGAACTCAACTATGATGCACCCTGACTTCGCATCTAATTTCTCTTTCTTCATGATGGCTGCCTTCAGTTCCGCTCTTAATGTGACATGGCAACATTCACTAAAGGAAAGCGATATCTACCAAGGTCATAGATTTCTTATTTTATAAAAAAAAAAAAATTATTTTCTATAGCATCTTTGCAATAGTACATTATCATTGAGTAAAATTAAATAAAACAGAAAGCAACTTGTAATACGTAAAACTTTACCACATGGTAAATAAATTAACGATGCAAAAATTCAGATTTGCTTAAAAGATATGTGAGAGGCAGGCCAGCAACCACTTGTTTTTCAAATGTAACATGTTCTCCGGTGAATTCACAAACAGATTTCTTTAACTAGCAAGTTCCCCTAGTAAATTTCAAAAGTAATTCCATTTCTAAAAATTATGATCATTCAGCTTTTAGAAGACATAACTAGCAAAACACATATGTAGAAGCACAGGCTGTATTATATTTCCCTGAACTTCACTTCTGGCTTCTTCATAAATATGACTGAATTCTACATTTATTTGCCAAAGATCTTAAAAGTAATTTTAGTTTAATAGCTAACCTTCTAGCGATGTGTTATATTTTACAGGGGCACGCACTTGCAGTGCTATAAAAGACCATGTTTCCCTGACTGACAATTTCTAGGTTTTAACTCTTTCCCCGTCGGCATTAATTTGTATAGATTTTGACAGACAGCATACTGTGCTCCACCAAGAGCTAGACTCAAACTCGGCACTGACCCTCTAAACAACTTTGGGTCCTGAAGACATTTAAACTTCAGATGTGATCCATTAGAAGCCTGCTTTATTATCTGAAATACTCCTGAGAGCTATCATTCCTTAAAATACACCTTTTCCTCATTTGTTTCGCTCATTATATTCACATTAGGAAAAAAATGAAACCGTCTCAGATAAATCCAGGTGTGGTTAAGAATCTGAATTGCAGTCACCAGCAGTAACAAAAGTTCTGAGAACTGCAATAGATCATTTTGCTTCCTCTTTATTAGCTGACTCGAAGCTTACCCTCATTGCACAATAAATTGGAATGTAGTCTCCAAATCTCAAAGCAGTTAGTAACTGAAATGGTTACTATCTTAAATGTCATATGCTCATTTGCCGTTTACTAGGTATACTGTGCTCCCCCCTCCCCACCCTACACTCATGTGTCTGACTTAGCTCACTAGGAATCTTAAAACAACAATCAGGGGCAGCGGGGTGGTTCAGTCAGTTAAGTGTCTGACTCTTGATTTTGGCTCCGGTCATGGGTCATGATCTCGCGGTGTGTGGGTTCGAGCCCCATGTCCGGCTTTGCGCTGACAGCGTGCAGCCTGCTTGGGATTCTGTCTCCTTCTCTCTCTGCCCCCACCCCCCACTTGCTCTTTGTATCTTTCTCAAAAATAAATGAAAATAAGACCTAAAAAAAAAAAAAACCCCAAAAACCCCAACAACCCGACTTTTAGCGGTGGAGGGCGCAGCCCCAACCGATCACCTTGATGGCCAAGCCTGCTGGAGTCAATCTCTCCGTATTCCGCTCACTGAGGCAGTCCTCTCCCATCAGAGACGTGAGGTGCTGCAGACATTCTGCGTGTCCCTGCGATGCGGCCACGTGTAAGAGATTGTTGCCACTCTCGTCGTGAATTTTGTCTAGGTTGTCAGCAGCTAGGTGGGGCTGTACAAAGAGTTAAGATTAGAACACTTAAGTCAATAATCAGAACGAGATGCTGTGGGGGTTCTGCTGTGGGCACTGGTAAGAAGAGATGATCTTCCGGAAGCTCTGGTGCCAATCCTGGGGATGTAGTAAGTCAAAATTCCTTACCATCAATTCTGATGATTGCCCATTACAGAGTTTGCTCTGCTACCCTTGAGAACATGAATTCTCAAGAGACTTATCTTCATGGGAGACATGGAGACTGGGATAGGTCAACAAGACTGCGGAGACTCCGAGCTGGCTTTCTAAACAACTGCAATGATATTTATGGTAATTGGCAAATTCCCTTTCTGTCTACTCCACTCGACTGCTAAGTGCTGACAGCCAGACTGTGTTTTATTCTCTGTTGTAGGTTTGTTGAATGAAGGAACTACTTCTCTCAAGCATCTCGTCTGCCTTGAACTACAGAGAATTGGCTTTCATTGCAAACTCATGATGGCTGCCATGACTAGCGCCACCACGGGGTTCTTCTAGACACTTTCACCCCAGACAGACTCCTGGACGCTACCTGGACTTTGATTTTCTCACCTGTAGTGAAGCTTAGTTCCCTGTGTTAGTTCCATGGTTGACAGAGACTGTTGGGTGAACTGAGAGGTATTATCACTTGGGAAACATGAAAACATGGGATGGACAAAAGGAAGAAATGAACCAGAAAGAAAAAGAGAGAAAGAGCCAGGAGAAATGGAAAACCTATTTTCAGCAGGAAAACATTTTTTTATTACTTTATTTGGTAAAACCATTCAATCCTATTATCCTATAACAGTGAGATTTGGGATAATGGACCAAGCACATTGTACTTATCTCTGTATGGCTTTACACTAAGTGGAATCGCACTGCCAAGATACGATGATTTTCTTGAGTGAGACTTTAATTAACATCATGGTATCAGCCCAGGCTTGCTACTGTTTGATCCAAGTCTGGAAGCCAGAAAAGAACAATGCAGGCAGATGGGGTGTGATTTCGGCTGAGCTCTCTCTGAGCCGAGGCAGAACAGGCTTTTCTTACACATCATGTTAACTCTGTGACTAGAGTCTTTGGAAAAGCTTCTTTGCACTCCCTAGACATGCAGAGCTGGACTGAGTAAAAGCCCCATGTAGGTCAGAGGGCAACCAAGCTCTAGGGTAAGCTCTATCTGCAAACGTTCTTAAACGTCCTGGTCCAACTTTTCTGAATAATGATCAGGATAAAACAGAAGACCCTCTGTTCATGGATCTGGCAGGTCCGCCATCAACAAGGAACACACACATCCCCACGGGTAAGTGAGTGGGAACATTAGGGACCATTTGAAAAGGGAAAAGAAAGACATAAAGAGTCATGTTAAAGCAAGTGCTGGACTTGTGTTTTTGTTTTATTTTTTTAATTATTTTTTTACATTTATTTATTTTTGATAGAGAGACACAGAGCACAAGTGGAGGAGGAGCAGAGAGAGAAAGAGAAGCAGAATCGGAAGCAGGCTCCAGGCTCTGAGCTCTCAGCACAGAGCCCGACGTGGGGCTCGAACTCACTAACCATGAGATCATGACCTGAGCCAAAGTCGGACGCTTAACCGATTGAGCCACCCAGGTGCCCCTAGACTTGTGTTGTTTTAGATTATGTGTCCCATTTCAGTCAAAGTCCTGCAAAGTTAAAGGGGAATAACACTCCCTCTATAGCTGTTTATTTTCCCTGGTACTAATCTAAAGTTGGATTTTAAATTTCAAAAGGCACATCATCAAACTAAAGCTACGAGTAAAGATTAAGGCAACATGGGAACAAACACTCATGATTCTGTTACTCATGAAGGAGTTGGTACAACTGGAGTCTCTAAATTACCGAATTAGATCATACTCACCAGGAGAGATATCTGTCCTTCTTTAACGATGTTCAAGATGCTTTTCCCTTTTTTCAGATACTCACTCCTTTCTTCTGGGCCTTGGGAGCTGGTCCAGCTCACACCCCCGATCTGCTCTTCCACTTTGGGTTCTGTTGCGGAGGACTGTGGATGGAAGTCCCTGAGCTGGCAGTCTGGCATTGCCTTCTCGCGCTTTCGACTATGAGGATCACTAAAGGTCTTGTTTAGGAAGTCCTTGCTCTGGTTTTCAGGCTCGTATGCGGAGCCACACTTAACCAAAGGCGGTGAGCTCTCAGACTCTTCAGCAGAGAGCTTTTGCTGGTCGCGGATGATGGATGACGCTTTTCTCAAGTGAGGGCTTTTCACGGGAGAAAGAACACAGAATGGTGTCAGGGTGGACGGTGAGCTCTCGGCACTTCCGGGAGAACAGGCTTTGCCAGAAAGGCCATTGATGGTTGTGCACAAACCCAAAATTCTCTTATCTGAAGTCACCTTGGTAAAAGGGACAAGCTGTTGACTGGATTTAATGTAAGGCACATCCAGAATCTCATCCATGTCAAGGTCATAATGCTCCAGTTCACCCAGCAAGGTGCTGGGCTCGGTGCTCTTACTTTGGGGGCCACTGTCTCCATCTCCAGGGCTGAGCTCCTCAGGTGGGGGGCCTGGCTCTGAATCACTCCCTTTCTGGCACTCCACCTTCTGGTTCTTTTGGTCATCACTTTCATTGTTGTCCAGAGTCTCTGGCTGGTGTTTCAGTGGGGAAACTCGCTTCACGGGACGGAACTTACTGTACACGTCAGCGATGCCTGTGGGCTTCTGTGTGTTTGTGATGAGAGCCGACACACTGCAATTCCAGCTCGAACTAGAAACTGTTTTGAAATATATAAAAGAGGAGAGCATTACATTGAAACACTGAAGGTATCTTGGCCATGTGGCCAGACATAGACCACTCAGGTTATGTTCAAAGAAAGCCCCTGTCTAAGGGGACACCTGTAGGGAGAAGGCAAATCAAACACAAGATATCCCAAAACAAACGGTTCATACTTACCACTAGAAAACAGTGAGTGATAAAAGTGATGGCATATTGGCTCAAAATAAACTCAAGTAGGAAGCATGGTAAAAGGAGACAGCCAAAAAAACAAACAAACCTCAACAGATTTTTAGGTTCATTCCCTGGATGGCTATACCTCTTTGGAAGTATTATGAGACTTGTCACCACCTGGAGAAGCAGAATTGGAGATAGGATCCTCTATGTTAAATAAACTTCCAAACTAGTTTAGGGAGACAAGGGATGAATGTACACACATGCGTATATGTGCGTGCACACACACATGCACATCCTTAAAGCTTAAGAAGTCTCATATAAAGAAGGGGTAAGTTATTTAATATTGGGCAAACTCAAACTGTGACCTACTGGGTGATTTTCTCCCACAGATGAGTATCCCAACGAACCGTCGCTCGGGGAATTTCACCATGCTTTCTGGCATATGCACACAGCAACATAATGTATTTGTACTTTATAACGGAACACGCGGGAAGGTTCAAAGCTGCCCTCCATTGTTGGCAAAGCTGGGAAGAACCAGGAGGAGAGGAAGTTACAAAGGGAGAGCGAGATGTGCAGGTTAGTGGTTGTTTTTTTTTTTTTTTTCCTTCTCATTTCTCTGCGAAGCTCAGATAAAAAGTGCATGGTTTGTCTTTGAGGGAGGGTCTGGTTGAGATGGAGCGTCCAGTGAAAGAGCAATGTGTCTGGACGTTGAAGATAAGAACACCATCTCTCCCAGTCAGCCTCATGAAAGGCAACCCCGTGCCTTCTCGTGGTGCAGGGTGACAGGACACCAGTCTCCTCTGTTGTGATGATCCTGCCTCCTCTCTGGGACACTCCCCTGACTAGACCGATGACCCAGCTCTTGGAAACTTGTAGGTCACTGATTTATGGACCCCTCCTCCTCCTCTTCCATTACATTTACACCATCCCCCTTGGAAGGGGGGAGGTTTCAGGACATGCCTTCCAACTAGGAGCTCTCTCTCTCCTCTTCTGGAACAACTGGTGGGAAGTATTTAATCCCAAAGCATGTGCTTGTGTCTGTTCTTTGCTACTGGGCACAACCAAAGAATTAAAGAGGTGGGGTGTATTCAGGTCTGTAACTTCTATGACAGTCCCCAGCTCCCACTAAATCTTGGGTGAAAGTGGCATACAAGTCATTAAAAGCTCCCCAAATTTAGATCGCTGGTCATTCTTGTTCTTACTGGGATATATCTAAAAGGATTCAGAGAAGTTCTGGAAGTAAGTTAAGGAGGTGAGAGAAAGTGTTCTGAGTCTGAATGTGATGTAATTGTTGGTGGATGGTTCTTTCCTCCAAAAGAGACCATAATTTCGCACAGGTTTTCAGAAGGTCTGCACTAAGCGGAATTATGGCTCTGAGACCTTTAACGTCTAAGAAGAGAACATTATGAGCTGTAGCGACAAGCCTGGATTCTGTCCAGTAAGGGACAGGTATTAACGAGGAATGGTCCAGGAGGGAAGGGAGGTATCTAGATGCTGTTAAGCTGCAGCACCTCTTCTTTTTCGCTGGCTCTGCTTCTAAGCTGTACCCAGTACTTGGCACAGAGAATACAATTAACAAACGCGAGTATTTGAATTTGAATCTCACTTTGCGAAACGCATTAAATCTCCTTCGAAGTGCCCGAAGCGCATCCTTCTCAGGGATTTACAGCTTAATATCACAGGGGACGAAAGCCCCGTTAATAAACTCAGAGGAGTGATAATCACCAATAAGAGTTGGATCTTCTAAAGTTATTTATGAAAAGTAAATATGCACAGGCAAAGCCTAATTCCAGTTGGTCCATTATATATTTAAAAGGTTTCCTATCCTTTATAGGTCCATTTTTCCCTAAAAATGTGAAGCTATGAAAAATTGTCTGCCAGAAACTTCCGCCAAGCTTTTCTCTCTTCCTTTCAAGAACACATGGTTACCCCTTTAAAATAGCAGAGAGATAGCAGACACAGAATTTACAATGTGTAAATATGCCTTTAATTTCATCCACTATTTTTTTCTAAAAAGCTTAAAATACAGTGGCGTGTGTGCGCATGCGCACGTGTGTGTGTCTCCCTTAACATTTCAGGAATACATACTAATTGTTAGGCATGGTATTTGCTAATATTTTGCCAATTACCTTGATTCCTTTGAAACTTCTTGAAAATGTGCATCTCAGGATGTGATAAAAACCTTTAAAGTCACATAACTTAGTGGACCAATACAACGAGCGCATTGTGCCAATACATTTATGTATTGTATAAGGTCGTGGGTTCAAAGGGCTACTCTTTTATGTTGGCTTTATTTACATGTGAAATTTTTTCCAAGTGATACAGGGAAATGGATACCATATGTTTCCCAGCTGTTTTGTACTGACAGGAGCCATTAAGAATGCTCTATGGAAATGAATTCTGTCTGAGTCTTATAAAAACACTTCTTTCCACAGAAGGGTCTAGAAACTGAAGAAGAGGCATCAACATTAGGCCTGTTGTCCTTCCTCTTTTTTAAACGTATGACTCTTTTTTAGGCTGAGAGGGTGAGCTCTATGCTTTCTAGTCTGTGTCTTGATGACCAGGAAAAAAAAAAAATCCCAGTTACATAAAACTGATTGTTTAAGAGACTCTCATGAGACAGCTCTAATTTATTACTATATATACTCATCTGAGGAAGAAGGGAAATTTTATTCTATACATAAAACAAAACTTTATATTGTTTCTCCTAAGCTGGGAAAATGAGCATTTTAAGCACAACATAAGAAAAAGGAATACTTATGATTGAAAAGATTTTAACTTACAGTTCTGTAAGTCTACTCCAAATTTCGTTTATACTATTGTTCTACCCCAACACCATAATCAATTTCTTTTTTTTTTTTTCAATTTTTTAAATGTTTTATTTATTTTTGAGGCAGAGAGAGACAGAGCGTGAGCAGGGGAGGGGCAGAGAGAGAGAGCGAGACACAGAATCCAAAGCAGGCTCCAGGCTCTGAGCTGTCAGCACAGAGCCTGACCCGGGGCTTGAACTCACAAACCGTGAGATCATGACCTGAGCCAAAGTCGGATGCTTAACCCACTGAGCCACCCAGGCGCCCCCATAATCAATTTCTTAAAACACATGGAAATAAAGTTCAGACTAACTATAGTTACTAGAAAGATTTTGAGGCTAAATAGGTTTTCTGGAAATCATGAATAAAGCCTTCGTACGTTAAGCTTTAAATCCCTGAAAATTTTTTCTCTTATCTTATTAGATCTTTACAAGCTCTATGAGAACAGGGTCTGTGTCTAATTTCTCTCTCTCTGGCTCAAAGTTCTCAGCAAACTGCTTTATAGAACTAGGTTCTTAATGACTTCTTGGTTGGATGGATTCATTTTGAACATCTTACGAAAGTAAACATGTCTAACACACCTTAAACCTGTCTACCTGATTATGTCATCAATTTTCTAAAATGGTTGGTAGGTTAAGTGCAAATGTTTTTGACGCTGATTTATAGACCAGTATAGATCTCTTCCAATCTAACTGGCAGTGGGGATGTCCCTGAGCTCCAGCAAGGTGGCCTCCAATTGCCTGCCATCCACACGTTGCCATTTCTGCCACAAGCATTTAATGTGAGCCTAGGATAGGTGCATACTTGTCACAGGTAGATGTTCCAAAGCTGGGGTCTTACCCCTCTCCTACCTTACTTGCTCCCTCCCTTTCTCCTCATCGGGCACACACACTCTACCGCGTAGTCTTTGTAAACCTGGCCTGGGTCACATGACCACTCATGCAGTCTCTCAAGCCATCCATCTGCAAAGCATCGCTGGCCTTTCACTTCCCTTGACCTGTGGGTCTCATCCCTCCAGGCACCAAATTTGGCTGTGGCCTGATCCCAAATTTCTCTCAAGTCTGGTCCCTCTTATCCATCCTGTTACACTGACTAGTCCACGCTGGGACCCTTGCGCTGCAAAGTTCTAGCTACTTCTCTAGTCTCCCTTTGTAGTCCTGAGTTTTCCCTCTTCATATAGGTGTGATTTTGTCACTTCTTAGCTCAAAAACCTCAGATGGCCCTGTATTGCCTATGACATTTCCCCGTATGTCACATGCATATCCTTGTAGTATCTAAGATGGCACACAGGAACCATGATGAATACTCCTGACTTAGAAAATAAGGAAGCTTTAGGGTGTCTGGGTGGCTCAGTCGGTTAAGTGTCCGACTTCAGCTCAGGTCGTGATCTCACGGTTTGTGGGTTCGAGGCCCACGATGGGCTCTGTGCTGACAGCTCAGAGCCTGGAGCCTGCTTCGGATTCTGTGTCTCCCTCTCTCTTTGCTCTTCTCTGCTCATGCTCTCTCTCTCAAAAATAAATAAACATTTAAAAATTAAAAAGTTAAGTAAGGAAGCTTTATGCCATTCAAACTGCCTTTTTTCCTCCTAATTAATTGAAGGAATCTCAGTTTGGTGCTACAATGAATTTAACTCCTCTCCAAAACTTATCATCTCCCTTAAAAATGAGGAGACAGCAGGTCTCAGGCTCGGAGACTTTCACAAGCAAAGACTTAACAGGAACGTTTTATTTTCATCACATTCATTTTAATGATGACCTTTAATTTATTGCAATTGACGTTGATTTTTCTTGTTTTTTTTTAATGTTTATTTATTTTGAGAGAGAGAGAGCACATGCACACATGAATGAGTGGGGGAGAGGCAGAGAAAGGAGAGAGAATCTCAAGCAGGCTCTGCACTGTCAGTTTGCTATGTGGGGCTAGATCTCATGAACTGCGAGATCATGACCTGAACTAAAATCAAGAGTCAGATGCTTAACCGAGGTTAACCTGGTTAACGCTTAACCTGAACCACCCA